GCGGGCGGGCTGCGCTGGGGCACAGGCGGAGCTAACTGCGACACGGGCGGAACGGGAACGGCGGCCCATGGAACACGAAGGGAGACAAGCCGAGGTGCAGCCCTTTCAGAGACTCGGGGAGAGGGGGGGGGGGGGGGGCGACGCGAGGCCGGGCACAGTTGGGCCGCCGCCCATCATGCGCCTGGGAGATTCGAGTCGGACACGGATGCCGAACGGGACGCCGCGGATGCATCGGATGCAGCTAGTGAAGGGGCCCCAGGACACACAAATAAATACACACAAATAAAACGATCCCCCATATTTTCCTATATTTTCTGGGTTTTTGTCTTCGCCCCCACTTCCCATAGTTTCCCATATTTTCTGGGAAATCGACAATTAATTGTGTCTGTGTGTTTCTTTCCCTCCTGAGCTAGGAGGGAGGCAGCCTTCGACGAGGCGGTCACGGCCCGCCTCAGCGTGGGCAGTGCTCGCCCGACGAGGGCAGCGGCGCCAGGCGCGCGGCCCTCGGTGCAAGCGCGGGCGCGGCGGTGGCGGGAGGCGCGGCGAGGCGCCCGCCCGCGCACGGGAGCTGGCGGGGAGGAGTCGACGCAGGCGGCCATCGCGCTGCGTTCATGGCCGCGGGCGGGCGGGGCCGCGGCGACGGCCACGTCGACATCGACGACGACGCGCGGGCCTGGGCGGGGCGGCGCGGCGCCGCGCCAGTGACGTCGCCGGGCGCGCGCGTGCCCCCTGCCGAGCCCGGCGGCTGCAGCGCGGGCGGCGGGGGCGCCCGCACGCCTGCGGCCCCTGGTCAGCCACTCCGACGCGGACGCGGTCAGCGAGCACGGAAGCGAGGCTACGACGATCTTGCGGGAGCTTGGCTGGTTGTCCCGCCGCACCCCCTTCCTCGGAGCGCTCGGGTGCCCTCGGTGGCGCCGCGTCGTCTTGCCTCGGCCACGAATTGCTACGCCTCGGCTCCAGCACACGGCAAGTCCCCGTCGGGGCGAGGAATGCCTGGAGCTCTGACGCCCCGATAAACGTTCAATATGAAACTATATCCCCGCATAAGACAACAAGTGGCAATTTCAAACCTGTGACTGGAGTAGCTCGTTTGTCAAGCGTTCTGGGTGAGCTTTCGGCGACCACGTCGCCTCTTCAGGCTGGCCTTAGTCCAAATGACTATGGCCCCCCTCCTGACAGCACGCGCGTACATGAGCGAAGAGGGGGGGGAAAGGAAAGTGCTGCCTGACTGCGCCTCCCCCAAAGCCACAGACGGTTTCTCAGAGGTCCCGCCACCTTCTGAGAAGGCCTACCCCCTCTAACATCCCCCTGGGCTCGCCGCCGACTGGAGGCCTCCCAAATGGGGGCCGAGTCGATGTGGTCTGAGGATCGTGCCGCATCGCCGATGAATCACCGATACATCGGCCTAGCATCGGCGACGTCGGTCATGCATCGGCGGCGTCGGCATGGAGAAAATCGAATTCCACAACGAGCCGCATGCGGCGCGATCCTCCGACCCCATCTATTCGGACCCCGTCCAGGAAGCCTAGAGACACCGGGGCCTTGGGCTTCACCTCCCGTACCGCCCAAGTCTGGCGCGTCACACTGACGGCGGCCGCACCCGCTGACCTCCAGCCAGGCCAAAGTGTTTAAAGCAGCTATATTCGGCCTGGAGTGGCCAATCAAGAGGGCTAGGACGTCTGGGATGATGAAAACTGTTTAAATCTCCACCGAGAGGAAGGGGACTCCACCGTGCAGAGGCAGCGCCAGCCTGGGATGCGAGGAGCACGAGGACGCACCAACCCAGACGCAAGCGCCTTGGGTGAAACCAGTCTTCGGACACGCTTCGGCCTCGGGGGGGGGCGACCGGTTTCGTTGTTCGGTCCCTGGGACCGGCAAAACGATCGGGGACGAAACACTGGTCCCGGAAGGAGGTCGGGAAGAATGGCCCGATATCTCCTCCTACTCCACCTCCTCCTCCCCCTACCCCTCCGCCTCCTCCTCCTCCTCATCCTCATCATCATCAGCTCATCATCCTCATCCTCATCCTCATCCTCATCCTCATCCTCATCATCATCCTCATCCTCATCCTCATCCTCATCCTCATCCTCCTCATCATCATCAGCATCATCATCATTATTATTATCATCATCATCATCACCATCATCATCATCATCATCACCATCACCATCACCATCACCATCACCATTACCATCACCATCATCATCATCACCACCATCATCATCACCATCCATCATCATCATCATCATCACCACCACCACCACCCTCCTCCTCCTCCTCCTTCGACTTCGACTTCGACCTCCCATTCAAGCATCCATACTGACCGTCTCTCTCTACTCTGGGCACGCCTACGCTAGGCACCAAAACATCACGACCGACATCGCCGAGGAGCCGCGGACGCGGCTAGCTCGGACGGAACGCCTGCGGCCTGCAGGGGGGGAGCACGCCTCCGCAAGGCAAAGCACCGCCCCCAGGAGGCCCACGGAGACCCAGGAGCCCAGGACGCCAAAAAAGGGTGCCCCCCCCAGGCGGTACTTGGGCCCCACACGGGACTCTAGTGCCACCAGCAGGCTACAGACCCGAACAGGCCAGGGCACTTAAACCCAGTTGCATAGCTAATTCACCACCGCGGGGCCCAATTCAAGACTATGTCCAGGTCAGCAAGACCACCCAGACCTTTGGCAAGGGCATCCCACGGAGCTCTGCCAAGGTTTTTTGGCGGCACCCCAGGCACGGAGAAAGTTGGCCAGGACCGCCCTTACAACCTCCAAGCACGTTGAACTCATTCACAGGGATCACACGAGGACCTTTCACTCCTCGCCCGACGGTGCCCCTCCCCATGCCTCTGCCTTCTGCTTGTTGAGCACCTTTGCGCCCTCCACGTTCCTTGTCACCAGGATGTGTCCTCGGAGCCCGAACGCGTACCTCAGGATTTGTTCGAGGAAGCCCGAACACGTGGATCCACAACGAGGCCTCCTCTGGGGCCGCCCAGGAGAGCATGTCTTTGGTCCTCTGGCCGATTTCCAGATACTCGCGAACATCCCGCGGGCAGTCGCCATGATACAAGAAGCTGTCAAAGACTATCAGAAAGCTGCCAAATACTTGCACCACATGTGGGCCGCGGCAGTGGCCCATGCCCACAGCCACGTCCTTGTCCAGGTAGGCCATGTACGCTTCCTTCTTTACGAGCACGTGCCCCTTGCCCTCCAAGTCCCCCCCATCCATCTCCACATACTCGCGCGCCAACAGCTGCATGACAGTGCGGCGTTGCGCAAGCAACGCCTTCACTTCACTGGCGTGACGCTTATGATCTTCTTTGCGGGGCGGAAACTTGCTGCAAAACGTATCACCTGCTTCATTCAGTACCCCCAACAAGACACGGTTGGCCTCATCAGCGATCTCCCGCGGTGGCGGCGCAATCACCCGTTCATATTCCCATAACCAGTGTGGTTCAACATGCAGGACAAATGGTTTGCGGTGCCACCCTCGCTGTAACACCATAGACATTGCATCACCTGAATGACGAGGTGAATCAGCAAACTGATACGATTCTGCAATAACTGCGAGCGGGATTGCCAAACCCATAGGTACGTGATCCCACAACTTGTTTTGACTGTGAGCTTGCAACCTCCAGGCCGATATCCGTAGTATTCGGCACCATGTGACTTCGTGTGCCCACGTCTGGGGTATAAAAAAGAAGTCGGTCACGTTGGACGCCTCGGTGCCGTAGTACGTGTTGCCTGCAGGCCACTTGGTGTAAATAGCACGTAACGAGTGCGACGAGAGCAGCGCCATTAGCCCTTCAGACATGTCGTTCGTCTGACCATTCCCATGTAACCCAACAATCTCATCATGCGCCTGGAACTGACCGCTGATGCCTCCCATGATGAAAGGCGACCACCGTGCAGATACTGACTCCAGCAAGCGAGATAGCCACCCTTGGACAGCCGAGCCTGCCACACGCCCATGCACCACATGAGGTCGCCCTCTGGGTTGGGGTGAAGCGTACAACAGGATCACAACACTACGCAGCGGCCCTCTCTCGAGTTTGATGGCACCACAACGGCACCATACGTTTTTTGGCGTGTGCAGACCCTCGTAGATATGAGATCTCGTCAAGGACCTTCGCCTCACCCAACGTGTGAGTCCGCAGCTCTTGTTGCAGTGCACACCCCGATTCCAGCCAAAGTCAATACTCCAGTGGTTCCCAGCCCGCTGCGATACTTCCGTATGATCTCCTGACGACCGACTTTGTGTGCCTATGCGGCCCACGAGGTCAAAATTGCTTATGTCCAGGCTCCTCTCAAAAATCGCACTCTGTGGGTTGTCCTGTGCACTCAGAATGCCGCGACGGGCTGCCGATGCCGAAAGGGGCTGCAGGTGCCATCGCAAGAAGCCAAGCTGCTGCCCCGCTTGCTGAAGGCGCCCGAAGCGGGGGCCCCGCCGAGGGCCCCCCATCCCCGAACCAGAGTGGCGCCTTTCCTCCTCCTCCTCCTCCTCCTCCTCATCCTCCTCCTGATCATCATCATCATCATCAGCATAATTATCGTCATCCTCATCATCCTCATCACCATCATCATCATCACCATCATCATCAGCATCATCATCATTCACCTCCTCCTTCTCTTCCTCCTCCTGGCCAGAAACCACTCAAGATCGGCCCCTGCCACAAAGAGGGGAGTCGAGGAAGGACGGAGGGAGGGAGGGAGGAAGGGCGGGTGCCGCGCGGCGAGCCCTTTGGTGGGGTTCGGACGCAAGCGGCTTCCTGGGCTCTGCGTCGACGGCTCGGGTTCGAGACTCGTCTAAGAGCGGCGCAGGAGGGAGGGCGGGGAGGGCAGGGCGTGGAGAGAGGTTGGCGGCGGGCGTGTGGGGAGGGGGGGAGACTTCTGAAGGCGCCTGCCTTACACGAGGCCCGCGCCGCGTGAGAAGCAGCCTCCTCCTAAGAAGCCGTCCCCCCTCCCGGCCGAGGAGGGGGCGGGGGGGGGGCGGGAAGGGGGCGCCGTGCACTTGGCGAGCGACCGATAGCCTGGCATCTGCAGGTACCCCGTCTCCTCCGGCAGGGGCGGGCCGTAAGCGTGGAGGAAGGCGGGAAGGCCGCCGCGCAATTCGGCCCCACCGCCTCTGCCCCTTGGGAACGGAGGGGGAAGAGGAGAGACGGTGTGAAGGCGAGGGAGGGGGAGGAGAGAAGGAAGAGGGGGGAAAATGGAGGAGGGAACACTCTCCTCCTCCTCCTCCTCCTCCTCCTCCTCCTCCTCCTCCTCAGCCTACTCCTCCAGTCTGCGCCTCTGGCCTCCTCGTCCCTCCTCCTGCCACGGTTCCCCTTCTTCCTCCAGCTTTACCCTCTCCTCCTGTTAGATGAACTGATGAACTCATCCTCCTCCAGTTTCTCCTCCTCCTCCTCCTCCTGTATCATTCCTCCTACTGGCTCTCCTCCTCCTCCACCTCCTGTTCTTCCTCCTTCGCTGCTTCCGCCTCCGACGGCGGTGTGGTCTCGACATTCCCTCTCGCCGAGTCGAATCCTCCGCCACATCCTCCTACCCCTCCTCCTTCTCGGACTGCTCCCTTTGGTCTCCTTCTAATGCTCCAGTCATATCCTCCTCCCCCTCCTCCTCCTCCTCCTCCTCCTGCTCCTCCTCCACCTCCTCCTCCTGTTCCAGCCATTTCGAGGCCTCGAAAGGCCTTAGCCAATCGCGAATTATTCGAAACGGCCTTGCGATTGCGAGCCAAGTTATTCTTCAAAATTCTCCAGTTGCGGCAGCCATGGCCGCTGCTGATTCCGCTCCTGGCAACGGCGTATCAAATCGTCGGCGTCGGACACCACAACGGCAGCAACCGTCACTTCCCCTGCATCCTGGTCCTCAGTTTCAGCAGCAGCCCGACGGGCAACGAGGTGGAGCAGGTGGGCACCTACGTCAGCGTGAGGCGACGTGGGAATGCAAGTTATGCGGATGCCGTAAGAAGCGCATGTCTTGGTGGTGGTGCAAACACTGCAAACAACCTTGGCAGCATTCGTCTTCTACGGCTAAAGGCGATGCAGTGGGCGACCCAGGTGGAGGTGCTGCAGTTTCAGCAGTGGGTGGCGGTGGCGCGACTGCCGCGGCCAAGCCCAAAGCCGTCAAAGGCACGGACAAACTCTCCCCTGAGGAGATCGACCAGCTTGCCAGCATCATGGAGAAAGGAGGAGATCCCGAAGCAGCTGCTATATACCGCAAGGAAGCCGCAGCTCGACGGGCTCCAGTTCATCAGCCCTCGATTCAGACGCAGGTCAACTGCGCATGTTCGAAGCTACGGGCGACGGAACAACGGCTTCAAGCAGCAGTCACAAAGTTCGAGGACTTGCAGTCGGCGTCGGCGAAGCAGCGCGAGAGCGTTGCGGAGTTGCGCGCCGAGCTGGGGACTGCTGAAGAGTCTCACAAGGCGCTGGTCACGAAGCTCAACAACAATGTGCAAGGTCATGTTCTGCCTCCAGGACACACAGTTCTCTCGGTCAAGGACAGTCTCGAGGGCAACCTGGAGAAATGTTTGGCGGTGGATGCGAACTTCCTCACGGCCAGTGATACGGACTACGAACTCATCGACACCGACAAGAAGGAGATGGCAGCTCGGTGCCAAGCTCTTGAAGGTGTCAAGAAAATGTGCGCCGATTTGTTTGCCCAGGCTAAGGACACAGCAGACCGCATCAAAAAGAAGCACGAGGCCCACGTCAAAAGGTTGGCAGCCAAGAGGGCGAGAGTCGGAGGCGTCGCTCTCCCTGCCAGTCGATTCCGAGGCTTGCGGGGGGCTGTGCGGCACGCGCACTCTGGAGGGCTGATCGAATTTTGCAGGGAGTCAGATCGACCCACACTTCTTTGCCGGCTGACTCCTCCTGTAAGCTGGCCAATTCTGGCGTCTCTCAAATTCGTTATCCTGTCCTGGGGTATCCTGGTGCTGGCAGCCCAATGGAGCTCGTCCCTGGTCCCAGGCTCCCGCCTCCTCCTCTGCCCTCATCTCCCCCCCCTTCTCATGGCCAGGCCCTGGATCCTGAAGGGTGGGGCTCAGCGCAGCTGAAGGTGCGCAGTATCAACTGCAACTCGCGGGGCACGCTCAAAAGATGTTACACGACACTCCTGCCAACATCGCGTTGGCCCAGGAGCACCGCCCATTGCAGGCGGGGACCATCTATTCGGCTTCTCAGTGGTGCGCTCGCAATGGCTGGAAGTCCCTCTGGTGTCCTGCTCTGCCCACAGATACTGACACTAGTGGAGGAGTTGTGACTCTTGTGCGTGACTGGCTCGGCCTCTCTGCGCCAGGCGAGGGCGCGATGGTCTCTCCAGGCCACGCTATGTTAGCTCATGTGCAAATCCCAGGGGGGCCTCTTTCACCGTTGGTAGTGTCTACCTTTACCACTCGGAAGGCTTTCAGACAAAAACTTGGACATGCTGGCCTCCTTGGGCGCTAGGTGTTCGGCCCTCCAGGGGTCCTTTGTCCTCGGAGGGGACTTCAATATGTCTCCAGGGGTCCTCTCGTCTTCGGCGTTCATCAGCGAGCTTCAAGGACAGTTAGCCGATTCTGGTGACTTCACCCACTTCGGGGAAGGTCCCCCGACCAAGTTTGATTAGTTCGCGTGCAGTGGAGGTTTAGGGAAGGCGGTGGCCAGCTGTTGCGTCGTGCATGACACGGACCGCAACCCTCACAGGCCACTCGACCTCCGCTTCCATCCTTCCCCTGCATCTCTTAAGGCTCTCAGCTTTCGGAAACCTCCCCCCGTTCCTCGCGATCCCGTCTTCGGCCCGAGACCTCAGCAGCAGTCTTGGGACCATGTGCTGGGCATCGCTCTGACAGGTCTTCGCGCGGCCGAGGAAGGTGATGCCCCTCGAGCGGCCGACCTACTCACCACAGGCTACGGAGCCTGGGCTGGCGCTGCTGAAGCCGAACTCATTCCTCTTCTAGGCGCTGATCTTGTCAGGGTGGGGGCCAGGAGTTCGGGGCCTCAGCTCATGTGGAGATCTGTAGTGGGGAGGGATGGTAAGCCAAGGTATCCTGCCCATCGAGCCACCCGCTGGCCGGGGGCCCAGTTCCGCAGCCTGGTTGTTCTGCAGCGAGACATCCGAGGCACGAGCAAGCAGGCGCAGGCTATTCACTCCTCCTTTTTGCACTGGCCTGCCTCGATTGCTGCTCACATGGGCGAGTCCCGAGACGGCTTGCACGCCATCAAGCGCTTCGCGCAAAAGCACGCCAACTGTCAGCGGTCGGTTGCTCAGTTGGCTCTTGGCGAGGCGCAGCTGGTCGGGCTGATGGAAGTGGTCTCGAAGTCCGACAGCCTGCATAGGGCTCGGTCGAATGTCGACTGGAAGGCCTGGCTCACGGCTGGCCTGGACAAGGGCGCCAGGAGAGTGCACCTCATTACGAAGGATCCCACGCCCTGGATACCAACGACCACGCTGGCTGCGCATGGCTCGGTTGCGTCGGACTCCTTGTCCCCCCTGTCCAAGGAAGGAGACGAGTTCAATAAATTCTGGGGGATTGGTTCTGTGGCGGTCTCCCCCCAAAAAAATCACGCCGGCCTTGCCTAGGGCCCCCCCTGAGCAGTTGCGATCGGTTCCGAAGAAGTACAAAGCTATTTCTGCTGTCTCCTACGATGGTTTCGATTGCCGACACTACCATCTTCTCTGCGACGACGGGCTCTCCGCTCTAGGCATGTTGTTCGAACTGATGGAATCTGTTGGGGCTCTCCCTCGCCAGATTTCTGCCGTCTTGATCGCGCCCCTCGTGAAACCCACGGGCGGCTTCAGACCGATTGGGGCGTTCTGCTCCTGGCACAGAGTATGGGGGCGCCTTAGGCGCCCCCGCGCTCTGGCCTGGGAGCAGCAACGCCCCCGTCGGCACTGGGCCGCCGGGGCTTTCCGAGGAGCGTCGGACGCTGTCTGGAGACAGACTGTTCGAGCTGAAGCGGGGACAGCCCGAAAGGAGTGCAGTTGCCAGTGTTTCCTATGATATGCTTAAATATTACGAGACCATGGGTCTGGACATGTTGTAGGCAAAATGCTACAAGCACGGATTCACCACGGCCCTCACTCGTGTCTCGCTCTACGCCCACCGTTGTGGCAGAGTCACCTCGGTGGCGGGGCTGCTCGACGGCCCCTTTTTCGTTCTCAATGGCGTGATGGCTGGCTGCAGCCTTGCCGCCGCTCACATTAGGATTTTCTCGATGGACGCGTTTGACGCTCTGCCCACGCACGTGAATGGGGAGTTTGATGCTTGCATCGATGACACGGGTGTTTCTCACACTGGCACTCACAAACAGGTACTATTGCAGCACATCGTGAACGCGTCGCGTGTCCTGCATCCTGTCATCACGGTCGAAATTCAATGCCTGCTCTCGCTCGACAAAGTTTGCACGGTGGCCTCGAGCAAGCGGCTGGCTGATGACATCTCCTCTGCTCTCGGGGAGTTAGGGGGGAAGGTCAGGGACTCGACCATCAATCTTAGAGTCGATTTCACTGCTGGCCGCTCTGCTCGCGTTTGAGGACGGAACTCGAAGATGAAAGCCAGGTGCGCGCTCGTGTGTATGAAGGCTAGGCGCCTCAGACGGCAGACCGAGCACGTTGGCCGAGCGGCGCTCAAAATCTTCGCTGCGGGCCCCCTTTCGGGAGGAGCCTATGGAGCGGAGATTTTAGGTGTCTCGGACCAGCAGCTCCTGCTGATGAGGCGCCGAGCTTTCGCCACCGTTCGCCCTTTTGCCAAGAGTAGGTCTCTCACAACTGTCAGCATTCTGTCGGGCGATCCCTGCTGGCGAGCTGCATGCGCCACCATCATCAGATGGGTGAAGGAAATATGGATCACCCACACTAGAGTTTTCGATGGGTCCCTCACGTTTGCGGTGCTGCGAGCTGCGTGGCACCCGGTGTTCTCGCAAGTTCGAGTCACGTGGCCTACCGTGAAGGGACCCCTCTCCTCTATTCGCCTCTCCCTCCTCAGGATAGGATGGAGAATGACTGACTTCATGACGCTGGTGGATGATAGAGGTCACGCTATCTCCCTTGGCCTCACCTCCCCGAAGTTGCTCGAA